GCGTTACTATTGCACCGAAGCTCCGTAATTTCTCACGCAATCTCGTCTCTCCGGTGCATACAATTCTAACACGCTCTGCAAGCATCACGTTGCACCCTCCGTGTCTGAGAGATTTCACCGATCTTAAAGTTTATCACCCCCGAAACCAGGGGGGGGTCTGTTTTCTATTGCTGCAGGACTAGCGCCTAGGTCAGTTCAGCAATAGAAAACAGACCCCTGGTATCTACCTTGTAGTTGAGTTGTTAAAACAGTCTCTTTCACCGAGAGTTCTGTCCCTTAATTAAATGACATGAGATGACTTGTTCCTACTGAGAATGTAAAACAATATTTTTTTCTTTCATTAAATTCCCCTTTATGATTGTCAATAATTTATATTACTTAGAGATATATTTTTTTCTGCTTTCATTATGTATGTATTTAATAATCAAACTACTTATATACGCTTCTTTATCTATTCATTCTTGAATTACGTTGCGAAAATTAAGTATTAGAGACCTGGTCCTAAAATTAGTCTCGCTTGTCTTTTCTTTTTATTCATATATATATATATACACCTAAGCAATGTACATTTTGCATAAATGTAGCACCGCTTCAGTGATCGAGCTAAGCGAAAATTAAAATTCGAGCCGATTGAAGAGGGACGATTACCGAGCTTTCAAGCTGAACGCCAAGAGACTCTTTAGATTAATACAGATATATAGCCTCGGCTAAAGGTAGAGAATTGATAGCGACGCATTTGAATTGTAGTAAATATGACAACCGATCCGGAACGCGCCGCCAATACGAGCGGTACAGAATCCGTCGAAGACGAAGACGATAACCATCGCAAAATTTTAAATAGCAATGATGTGTTAGCTGCTCTACGAGGTGGTGGTATTACTGCACCAGGATTTGCAGAGGTATTGCAATATTATTTCCCGTCTTCATTCGGCGAACTTTACCTACATACACATATCTTCGAATTTATATAAATTGATCTTATTAAATGCGCGCGCGCGTTATTTTACAGTGATATTGCAAGTTTTTTTTTCTAAATCGCATGCTTTTCTTAACGCTTGTTTGCTTTCACATCCCATTTAACCGACCATTTTTGACCGAATGATACATCATGTTTGTTACGCATCTCGAGTTGTGTGAATGTCATCCATAGTTTACTGATTTAAGTCAAATTTCATATAAATGTTTTTCTTATCGCCGATTCATGTAAACCAATAACTTGCAATTTGTAACTCTCAATCGATAACTAATTATTAAAGTAAAAAAAAGAAAACGAAACTTCAAAGAAGCTGGATAAAATATAAATTATTATAAATTGTCGTGTTTGATTGTGAAGTTTCACAAGTGTATAAATTGCGTTTTCAGCAAATGCAGTCTCTTCCTGCTCCCGTCAAACGCAGGGTCAAGGCACTGAAACAACTGCAGCTTGTCACTACTAATATCGAGGCTAAATTTTACGAGGAGGTCCATGCCTTGGAATGTGAATACTACAAAATGTGCGCCCCCCTTTACCAGAAGCGGAATGACATAATATCGGGCACTTATGAGCCAACCGATGAACAATGCGCTTGGGAAAGCGATGATGAAGAAGAAACGCTAACTAATTATATGAAAGAGAAGGCAAAGATCGAGGATACTGTAGAGATAAAGGATGAGTATGTTTTTTTTCCAATAATAATAATTATTATTATGTACCTGCTTGTATAAGAAATTAAGAAAAATTAGATTTAATTTAGACGTGCAATTAATTGCAGCAAATTAATTTGAATTTGTGTAATATGATTTTAGAGCGACGGAGAACGAGGATGATATTAAAGGCATCCCAGATTTTTGGCTAACAATATTTAAAAATGTAAGCTCGCTATCCGAAATGGTTCAGGAACATGACGAGCCGATCTTGAAGCATCTACATGATATTAAAGTAAAATTTCTGCCATCGAATCCAATGGTGAGCTACAGAACGAAGTGATACAATTAATAATTAGAGAAGAAGCTTGATTCAAGTTAATATTCTTTTTCTTTTTCAGGGATTTATTCTCGAGTTCTATTTCACGCCCAACGAATATTTCTCTAATTCAGTGCTCACTAAAGAATACATCATGAAATGTACTCCAGAAAAGAACGATCCGTTCAGTTTTGAAGGGCCAGAGATATACAAATGCAAAGTAAAGCTTTTACTTGATCTAATTAAGTTTTTATTAATTAAGTATATAAGTAATTGTGATACTAAAAAGATAATTTTTTTCGTAGGGCTGCGTGATCGATTGGAAGAAGGGCAAGAACGTTACGATAAAAACTATTAAGAAGAATCAGAAGCATAAATCACGAGGATCAATGCGTACCGTGACGAAAACGGTTCAAAATGATTCCTTCTTTAATTTCTTCAGTCCACCAATTGGTAATTAATATTTCACGTATTTTTTAATTCTCCGTGTATAATATAGTAAAATTACAGCCGTTTCGTTCTGACTTGTGCCCTGATTGGCCATCGCCCTAAACGCTGTTTTCTTGTACGTGTGGAATCTGTTAGTCTCATTCTCGTTACAGGCTACGTGAACATTCTTCTTGGTGTCCCTCGACCCGGGATGATCACCAGGGATATGATTGTACGTGGAGTCCAGTTTGCGCTCGCCGCTTCGTTGAATCTCTGCCAGCAACTCTCGTCTCAACGACGTGGGAGCTTTCAAGGTGGGACGCACAGTTGGCTGCGGTTGGTCCAGATGCTTCGTACGGAATTTCGGTGCTGCGTCCAACATGTTTGGATTCATCGGCATGGATTGATTATAGATAGGCACCTTGAAAGATATATCTAAAGCGTTCTCCTTCGCGAGTGTCTCGCGCGTGAGAAAGACCACGGATTCGATTTCATCCGACGGAACATTACACGTTACATTCAGATCTGCTTTATTTGCGCGCATGCTAGGTATGTACGTGTCGTTAATCGACACGGGCGAATTTGGT